TCCTCACAACGGTGGGCAGAAATCTGCTCAATACTGGTCGCAGGAGGTTGAGATGACTCAATGCCATGTCTGTGGTCACAATACTAAAGAAAATGGAGGTAAACTTATTTAACGCAAGGATGATAAACACGTAGAGCAACTCTACATCAAACATATATTTTGATATACTCCATAAAAACATGAAGAAATAAAAATAAAAAATAAAAATAAAAAAAATAAACAAAGAACATTAGACACTGGCTAACATTCAATATTTCCACCAGGGGGCGTCTCTAAAATCTAAAAAAAAGACCCATACAGGGACAAAAAAGCAAACCATAATTTCATAAATACAGTCAAGATGAACTCAAAAGCATAGCTATACTTTCTGAAATAGTGCCATTGTCATTTTAGCACAAATACAAGTGGATCAATGACTTGATATACTCCATAAAAACATGAAGATCTGTAAAAATAAAAAAAATAAACAAAGAACATTAGACACTGGCTAACATTCAATATTTCCACCAGGGGGCGTCTCTAAAATCTAAAAAAAAGACCCATACAGGGACAAAAAAGCAAACCATAATTTCATAAATACAGTCAAGATGAACTCAAAAGCATAGCTATACTTTCTGAAATAGTGCCATTGTCATTTTAGCACAAATACAAGTGGATCAATGACAAATAAGAGTGTTCAAGATTAAGAAAAGGAACAATTTACTTTAAACTGCATGTGCAAAGTTCATAGAAATTAACTTACTGCATACATATTGGTTTTATATAAAAACATTTATATAATTTTTAAAGAGGTTAAATGTAATGAATCAGAAAAAGTCATGTTAAAATGTACTTGTGATCAAGAAAAAATTTAAATTTAACTTTGAAATTTGAGTAACACCTTTTTGAATACTCATTTTTATTTAATTATTAATTTTAGTATCTTATGTTTTCTGCATGTTGGTCGTACCACATCACTTCGATTTGGTGAAGGAATGTTTTTTAAATCTTTAAAACAAATTAACTGCTTCACTGCTTAATAAAAAAAACAATACCAAATTACTTAAAAAAACTTTTAAAATATGTTTTGGACCTCAAAAAGTTTTTAAATTATGGCAATTATTTATATCCCATTTTATTTAAAATATAAAACATAATTTTAATTAGGAAAACTAAAAATAAATGGATAATACAAAGGCTTTCAAGTCACTGTATTTATGAATTGTTTTTAATATTTTAATTAAATTAAATTTTGTGTTTTTTTAATTGTGTTAATTAATTGTTATTATAAAATATTCATTTTTTCACTGTATGTATGAATTGTTTTTAATATTGTAATTCAATTTAATTTTGTGTTTTTTAATTGTTAATTGCCATTTTAAAATATAATTTTTTTAAATTATTAAAATATTTAAATTAAATTAATAAAAAAATGTAAAATATTATATATAATATATGTAACAATCCATCTCAATTTATTTTTTATTTTTTTACATTTTCAGATAAAATGTGTATGCAAACTGTTGCCACCACAATGGCATTTTAGCAATTTAGTATGCTTTTATTATGTTGCTAGCATGTTCTGGGTGGTTTCTTCCTGGCTCAAGTCAAAAGAGTCCACCCCTGAGTTTCTATGATATTCTAGTCCCTTGATATGGCTTTAACCTTTCTTCAATGTAGGTTTATACATTTTTCCAACTTGTTTATAGTCCGCCAGGTGAAAATTGTTAGTCTGATGGCTTAGAAAAGTAATAGCACAAGTCCCCTGCAGCCAAAAGATTTGACGTATCATTCATGTCCGTAGCACAAACAGTGCTGAGTTTAATACTCCGGGTTAGGGCAGTGCTCCTCAATCCTGGTCCTGGAGGTCCCCCAACACTGCACATTTGGGATGTCTCCTTAATCGAACACATCTGATTCAACTCATCAGCTCATTAGTGGAGACTCGGAGTCCTGCAATGTGTGTGTCACTGCCGCTTCATTTAGTAGCATAAATCTTCAAACGGTGGTTGTTTATCAGCGTGGACTGTAACAACAGCGCTTTCTGCAGGTGCTCTGGAACAAGCTCGCTCACGGGTTGCTTGCACCTCTGTCATTGCTTCTTTGTTTTGTCTAGCACGAGGTATCCTGCTAGTCAAAATACAGCCTGGCTTTTGCTTCTCCAAAGGATAGCTACTGAAACAAGTTTGGTCGTGTGTTTTTACAGTTGCTGTGATAAAGATAACTTCATGGCACGGGTCTACAGCTTTTCCCCAAACGCACGCACAAGCTGCGATTTTTATCGGCTCTTGATGATGCATGTTCAATGGGAGCCGCAGCTGTTAGACGCAGATCAAAAAATGAAAAGCGTGACTCTTCTTGTCGTCCTTAGGAGATGGGAGTTGTCCGACACGGGTGTTTTGGTCCACGGGGTGTGGATGGAGAAGAGGTGATGGCAGTTTTTAGAGAGACCGTCAAGCAGAAAAACTGTTGCACAGGTGGTCTGTGGGTTACGGTGCGCCGCCGTTTGATTTATACCGGTAGGGATGAGAGCGGTTGGCGTACCCTGGGTTGGGTGAACTGTAAAAGTTCTTACTGTAAAAACTGAGACAGTGTTGCATATCAGTTTGGTTGCGGTAATGTAAACCAGTGGTTGTATTTCATGATGTATAAGCAACTGACATTGTGCAGTAACTGTATTTCAAAGCTTTTTAATTAAAGGCATAGCTTGGCCAAAAATAAATATCATCATGTCATTATTTATTCACCTTCATTTCGTCTGTTGAAAACATAGATGTTTAGCAGAATGTTCACGCTGCTCTTTTACAATGTAAGAAGTGAATGGTAATCAAGGGTTGGAATTGTTCAATCAAAATTGAAAGTTTACTGAATGTTTACTCATCCTCAGGCCGTCAAATATGTAGATGAGTTTGTTTCTTCATCAGAACAGATTTGGAGAAATGTAGCATTACGTCACTTGCTCACCACTGGATCCTCTGCAGTGAATGGGTGCCGTCAGAATGAGAGTCCAGACAGCTGATAAAACATCACAATAATCCACACCGCTCCAGTCGCAGAGAATCACAGAATGATTTTTGGGTGAGCTACTCCTTTAGCAGCCCTTGGTCACCATTCACTTGAATTGTATGGAAAAGAGCAGCGTGAACATTCTGTGTTCAACCGGCAAAATGAAGATGAATACATGAGGGTGAATAAATAATGACATGATATTGATTTTTAGGTGAGCTATGCTTTTAATTAACAAGCCTTGAAATACGGTTGCTGCAAAAAAAAAAACTCAATTTTTTAATTAATTAATTCATTTTTATTTTGAAATGTAAACCAGTGGTTGTATTTCATGATGTATAAGCAACTGACATTGTGCAGTAACTGTATTTCAAAGCTTTTTAATTAAAGGCATAGCTTGGCCAAAAATAAATATCATCATGTCATTATTTATTCACCTTCATTTCGTCTGTTGAAAACATAGATGTTTAGCAGAATGTTCACGCTGCTCTTTTACAATGTAAGAAGTGAATGGTAATCAAGGGTTGGAATTGTTCAATCAAAATTGAAAGTTTACTGAATGTTTACTCATCCTCAGGCCGTCAAATATGTAGATGAGTTTGTTTCTTCATCAGAACAGATTTGGAGAAATGTAGCATTACGTCACTTGCTCACCACTGGATCCTCTGCAGTGAATGGGTGCCGTCAGAATGAGAGTCCAGACAGCTGATAAAACATCACAATAATCCACACCGCTCCAGTCGCAGAGAATCACAGAATGATTTTTGGGTGAGCTACTCCTTTAGCAGCCCTTGGTCACCATTCACTTGAATTGTATGGAAAAGAGCAGCGTGAACATTCTGTGTTCAACCGGCAAAATGAAGATGAATACATGAGGGTGAATAAATAATGACATGATATTGATTTTTAGGTGAGCTATGCTTTTAATTAACAAGCCTTGAAATACGGTTGCTGCAAAAAAAAAAACTCAATTTTTTAATTAATTAATTCATTTTTATTTTGATATATAGTATGGTATTTATGTCCCAAAAGATCAAAATGAATCTTAATTCAGAAAAAAAAAATATTATACAAAATGTTTATTTAAGTAATTGTTATTAAATATTACATTTAAAATGATAAATAAATAAAAAAAATTATAAAACTAGGGTAAATAAATAATGAGATGATGTGAGCTATGCCTTTAATTAAAAAACAAACAAACAAACATTAAAATAGAGAGTTGAGAGTTGCTGCAAAAATAATAATGATGTCCAATTATTTATAAAATATAATCATTATAAAACTGGTTGAACGGTGTTCATTTGACAAATGTTCTATTCTCCGTGCATTCAGTTTATTTTCCAGTTTAAATTAAATGAATTAAATGAGTTTTCCACACAGTAATGAGAAGCAAGCGGTTTTAAGCTTTGATCCATCATTTATGAGAGGAAAGAGATAAAAGGGGACAGTTAAAGAACAGAAGCCGGAGTTAGTAAAAAAGGGAAACAATCATCTTCAACTTCATAAACCTATAACAACATTTTAACCAATGATTTATGGATATTATGTTCTGAAACTAAAACAGCAACAGTGCTTTCCTTTGCAGTTTGCCTTCCATTTATTTATGCCCTGTGGTATTAATAACAATGTTTCCCAGCATTACCCAAGGAATACTTTACAAGGAATACTTTACAAGGAATACTTTACAAGGAATACTTTACAAGGAATACTTTACAAGGAATACGATTTTTCCATGTTTTTTCCTGCACAGACAAGCTGCTAGGCTACTTTATGAACAGTACAGAAATCAAACCACATTGTTACAAATAAATTAAAGCCTCCAATGTAACAAACAATGCAAGGGTAATTCCCACATACTCACTTTCCTCGTGTAGAAAAGCACTAGCAGTCTAGTGTCCCTCTCTGACGTCACGCGCAGCCTGCGCAGCTCAAGGGCACACGTCATCGCATTTTAGTGCTGTGCGTCATCAGAACAGGTTGTTAACGTCACTCTCCGGCGCCGTTGTTGACGTTATGAATGCTAAGCTAACGGGCTTCACGCAATTGTTTTGTCGGACTCGTGCGTGTGGCAGATATACGGGATGCATTTTAGGATTTGAGGCATCGCCATCCAGTTTTATACACAGTAGCTTTGGTTTAGTTTTAAAGAGCAGAGGAGAGGAACAAGAGAGGAGGGTGAGTGCTCTGCTAATCTATGCAAGCTGTTTACATTGCATGCTAGTTGTTAGCACAACAACCATTCACATATGTACAATTGATTATTTCACGGCTAGGTTTATGTTATTTATCAGTTACAGTGTTTCGATAATATGACGGTGTTTGCATACTAAATGTGCTTGTTTGTGAATTATATGATTTGTAAAATATCGTTGATGTCATTATCGCCTTCATACTGCATTTAACGTAATATTAATTATTATTTTCCACACTAAGGGGCCTAAGATAAAACTGTTCTGCATGTATCACACTCTCATAACAGAATGTCTTATAATTAATTAATATATATATATATATATATATATATATATATATATATATATATATATATATATATATATACACAGATAGACTGGTAGTTATTTGGTTGGTTAGACAGATAGGTAGACACAGTCAGATGGATAGACTGGTAGTTATTTGGTTGGTTAGACAGATAGGTAGACACAGTCAGATGGATAGACTGGTAGTTATTTGGTTGGTTAGACAGATAGGTAGACACAGTCAGATGGATAGACTGGTAGTTATTTGGTTGGTTAGACAGATAGGTAGACACAGTCAGATGGATAGACTGATTGATTGATTGATTGATAGACATAATCAGATAGATAGAAGAAAGTTACATATATATTCAAACACATCATATATGTATATATTTCTGTGCCACATACTTATCTGAGCGTCATTGACACTCTCTCTGTCTTTTCTCAGGAGCCTAATGCAGTCTGCTGCAGAGACTGTGGAGAATGCCTCCATCCTCTCAGGTGGCTCGGCACAGGACGGTCATCGGCTCTGGATCGGCAACATTGACCCTAAAATCACAGAGTGAGTGTTTGCCTGTGCAGTAAGCCAGCCCTGCACTGCCTCCCAGGCAGACCTGCGGAGCTGCCCGGGTGATTGATTAGCCAAGTGTGTCTTTGTGCTGGAGAATGAGCAGATGACGATAAGGCGTGTTAAAGAGAGCCGCTCGGCCGTGGAGACCTGTTTTGCTGAGGGGCTGCCATCATTTCTCATTCACCTGGCGTGTTTATTTAGTGAACCTGTAGCGGCTGCTCAAGGTGGAGAGGGGGTGGCTGGGTGACACGGAAGGGAAGCACGAGAGAAATAGCACACGTTGCTGGAGCGCCCCTGGAAAATGTATGGCTTGCCCAGGCTGGCGTCCAGACAGGCGTTTCCTTCCCTCTCTCTCCTCTGCTTTTCTTTAAATAACCTCCTTGAATGAAAACAGCCGTGATGCCCACAGGCTGGTGATTGGGAAGATTAATTAGTTCACATGCTGGGAGTGTTTGTAGTAGCGAGTTCCACTTTAGGGTCCTGCAGATCTCGCTCTCACACACACACACACACACAGGCACACAATGGTGAAGCCCTGCTATGTGAGGTCAGCGTTCACCCAAAGGCAACTTTTTCCTGGGGTTTCCAAGTAAGTGGATAATTGAGAACAGTAATTGAGTTGGGAGGTGAAAAGGTACTTTAGGTACTGCACTGCAGCAGCTGTGGACAGATCAACAGAGAGATTTATGAAGAAACCAAGAAGATGAGTTAAAAACTGAGGAATTGGTGACAATGACCTTTTACAATGGTTAGGCATTTTGGTCTTGTTTACGCCTATTAATATGTTCTGTTGGTCATCCAAAAACAAGTGGTCAGTAGTAATCAACCGATATGGACTTATGGATTTTTTTTTTTTTTGATAACCGAGAGAGCAGGGTGACCAATGGCTGATGTAAAGCCTCTTTATATCTATATCTATCTATCTATCTATATATATATATATATATGATTTTACACTATATAATTTAACATGCCATGCATAACAATTGCTGCAATTAAATTTAGATTTAACATATTTACAAAATTGTAAATAATTATCTGAAATGAATCAATATGAAAAAAATAATTTGAACTTATTTGATGTTAAATTTACAAGTTACATTTTTTTTTACAAATTTTAATTTGTGTACACTTTGTGTACAGTACACTTTGACATATGACATATCAGCAAACTGGATGTAACTCGGCATAGTTTGAAGTCAAGAGTTTAAAGATTACACTTACATCTGTGTACAGGTGCTGCTGTTCTTAGCGCTGTCAAAATTAAAAGTCCTGTTGCTGGCAAAAAGCTACTTCTGACACTTATTGGCCAAACGGATCAAAATTACTGTTGCAGATCATTTAAAAATATATGCCAAATATCAGTCGATATATTGGCTTTTGCAGTATATTTGTTGACAACTAGTGGTCAGTGCTGGTGCTGCTAATGCCATGCTACAAGCTTCTAGTACCAGGTGTAAACTGGACCTTAGCCAACCCATTCACATGCAGTGTTTGTTCCTTATCTTGTTCCTGAAATTTTTATTGATAAGCATAGTAGGGAGAGGGCAGGAAAATAAGGCAGAAAGCAGCAGAATGGGATCAAACTCAGGTTGCCCACATAGCTTAATATGGCAGATCTCATAATAAGGTGAATCTTGCGCTAAAATGTCTATTATATTTTACCCAAAAATCAAAAGAAAAAAAAGCCTGTATTTTTTTTATTAAGTAAATAAACACCATTTATATTTATTTATTTATTATTTTGCACTGGGATATTATTTTAATTACAATTTAATGCAACAAATACTACTATGAATTACACTTATTTTTTATATTTATAGTGTTTTTTTATTAGTTAAATCATAAAATATTTTTTATTTGTATTACAGTAGTAAACATTTTTTAAAATTATTTATAGTAACCTAATATTGCGCAGGAGGGGTGCATAATTATAATAAAAATAATGTTACAAGCCGTACATTTTCCAAAAATAATTTAGTGGTCCTAAATACAAGCTTCATTTTTTAATGCAAAGTATTTGTGTGAAATATGACATTTCTTGACGGTTTTCGTGAGTTTATCCAGTAGTTTTTGGGATTGAAAACAAAAAACTCAGTATGAACACTTCATTTGTCTCTCTTATGTTATTCTCATGTTATTTCCCTGGCCTTTGTGCATTAACAAGCAATTTTCATCTGTCAGTTTGCAATAAATTAGCAAGGTCAAGTTACATTTTGGAAATTATAATCTAGGAAAAATCAGCTGTGAGCCTTCATGCTTAGATTCTGATGTAACGGTACTTTATAGAAAAACCACTTTTTCTTGTCAGTCACTCCATCACTTCACAAACAGCCTCATTTATTTAATATGATTAATCGCAATACATCACAGGTTTGGAAAAGTCTGTGAAGTACATATTTACAGTTCTGCAAATTGTCACCAACAAATTTCAGTCAGATCTTTCACTGTAAGCAGTCTCTCCTGAGTGCTAATCCATCTACCCTACTGACTGTAAGTTTCACCATCATCGTTACATTAATCACAAGCTGAAGCTAGATGGAAAAATTACAGTTTCTGGACACAGTTGCTTAATTCCTCTCATTTCTTTTCCATTTAAATGTGGTATAAATGTATGACGCTGATCTGTGGTATAGTCAGTGCTTGGGCACCATGACATTGCTGAAATTGCATGAGTCTCAAACTTTCCACCTGTCGAATCAGCCCAGTGTCGATGCTCTATCCAGGGTGTGTCTCAATCTGCTAATGAGGTAAGTACACTTCCCGAGTAGTCAGCCATTTCTAGACTTGTCCCATAGTTAAAATCTATTTAAAACTGAAAAGTTGTTTCACCACCACAGACTTAGTCATCACTGTCTCAATATCACCAATTTCCAATGTACAGATTCACATCATATGGAACTAGGATGTGTAAAGGGACACAGCCTAAAAAGGACTGTGTTGTATACCATCTCACAGGTGTTTCACAAGTTCTCAAGCACTCTGGCATCTGTCAGATCCACCTACACTAATCCTGCTGCTTAAGTCACATTCAGATGCCAGGTGCTGAAGTTCGACCAACCCATGTTGAGGACAGTGATGACAACATTTCTTGACATTTTCCGTTTAATGAAAATATCTGTCAACATTTACAGAGCTCCACGCCATCACACATGCACAGTCTCTCTGACACAAACATACAAACTTTCTTTCAGGTTTGGTTTCCCACAGTTGAGACCTGTGGTGGACGCAGCCGTTCACACAAAGCAGGAGCTGCTGTCGTAATAACAGGCTGACATATTGACCTGTCCATGCTCCACTGGGACCCATTTAGGGCCGGTGATGGATCTACCATGTGCCGCAGGTTGTTTGTGCTTTTGGAGGCCTGCTTTGCATTGTCCGTTATACGCGGGCAGAAGGGAATAGGAGGCCTATCTGATGGGATGGCCGAGGAGGAAAACAGCACTGGCCTTAGACCACACCCTCCAGTCATCTGAAATAGACACGTGTCTGATAGAATCGTGCCTTGACCTTGATATCCGTGCTGTTTTCTTGATTCTGTGCTGCTAAATGTTTCTCAAGGTCTTCGACTGCATGCTGCACAGCGATACTGAAACGGGAGATGCTGCAGGTGGGTGAACAGCGCTGCGATTTCTTTGGCCCAAACAGATGACATGCTTGGCTCACATCAACACTTTCACAAAATACTCCATGCTCCTTGGACGGACCCCTTCTTTCTCCCAACTGCACATTTTATGGCCCTCTGGGGGCGTGCATTGTGGTCTGAGAAAAATCTACAGGTTGTTCCTTTGAATCGGAAACACTGTCAATTCTTCAATCTGCGGCAAGTCAGGAAGATCCCGTGGCCCGAGCCTGAGAGGGTGGTGGCTGGGAAAGTGCGAAGTACTTTTAGAGAAAAGCTCCTGGGAGAGGAGGGGAAGCCATTAATACCAAAGCCAGGACCCCCTTTTCTATCTGTGTTCCTACCTTTCCAGGATTAAAAATAACCTCAACCATCCAAAACAATAAAGAAATCCCCGGCATCTCCTTGTCTCTGTGCAGGAGGCAACTCCCAGACCGCTCCGGCTGTCATGTTGGAAGAACAACAATATAGCAAGAAGTTCCACAAATGTATTGTTGTTTATCTCGAGCATGTCATGAGCACATTCCTGATGCTCAGTTCTGTAGCTTTCCCAGCCTTTTCCCAGCTGAAGGAAATGCTTGAATGCCTTCCTGAACTGCATTACTCAGTCTTTAGAATTTGGTTTCAGGGATGTCCATGTGATGCCACATTCATCATCCTACGTCAAGGTGAATCACTGGAGACGATGCCAAGCAACAAGTTGTTTCATATTTACTTGATGAGTTTAAATGACAAGTATGGAGCATCCAAGATAAAGACTTACTGACCTTGACACACTGTCATGAGGTTGGTACCATGTCCTGTTTTTCCCCTTCATTTTTCTGCACATTGGTTGCAGTTTTTTTATTGTTTTCTTTTCCAGAGTTTCATCCTTGTTATGAGGCTTTTCTTCATTATAATAGTAGAGCTGTTGTACCTTATTTATGCCCTAAGTTTAAAAAAATTATTATATCTTTTATGTTTTTCAAGTAATTGTTTGTAGAAATTGCACTTTTACTGTGTTTTTGATAAATGGATCTGGACAAAAAATGAGAGTCATGTCATTGAACCTTGGCGTTGCTTTCGTCAGATGTTGTTTTGCTAACATACTGAAAAAACTTTAGGTGCAAATACAGTTGTGTTCATGCAGCGTTAAGTCACATTAAATGTTAACAGTTCGGATGACATACAGATGAACAAGCAGAAGCAAGGATACTTGCAAACATTCTCTTTTATGCACGGACTGCATGCTAGACTGCTCTCGAATGCTCTCGATATGGTTGTTTGACGAAGCCTATTTGTACGAAGCTCTCTTTGTTTGAATAGCAGTGTGATTCTTGTTTTACGGGAGCTCTCTGCCTATACCGTAGCTGTATTGAAGAATTGACCAGTTGCTTTTCTTTCACTAGACTTTCATTTTTGGCTGATGTCATCAAACCCTCTATTTTTTCCCAAACGTTCATTCATATAGAGACCACATCAAGCCGGCTGGTCTTGTATATGCAACACCCACTTTTCATGATCAATTAAATTCCTGATGGATTGACATCCCAGTTTCAGTCAAATGAGTTGCAAATGCCATTACATGTTGACATGCTCCAACACATTGGACCATGGTGATCATGTGGGCATTGTGAATTTGAATCTGGCCTGCAACATTTTTTAATTACCTGCTTTATATTCCAATCACTTTCTTTCTTCTGAAGAACACAAAAGAAGATATTTTGAAGAATGTTTCAGCTGTTTTGGTCTATAGAGTGGAAGTCGGTAGAGTCCAAAATGACATTGGACCCCATCGACCTTCATTGTATGGACAAAGTTTTTCACTAAGTAACAGAATAATCAGTTCTGTTTTTGGCAATAATAAGGGACTTGCATCTTCCATGAGAGCAGGTTCTAGAAGCTGTACTCATCATAATTGTTTGTCTTAAATTAAACTCTTGAGGGAATTCAGTCTTCCGCTTTTTTATATCCTCATTGTCCCCCTGCTGTATCCTTTGTATTGTGTGAATAAAAGATTTACAGCAGCTAAAAAGGTGTAAAGAGACCTGTCATTCTGATCAAGCCTTGTTAACAAAGAATTATGATACCATGACATGCATTCTTGTGGCTTTAATCACTCATTTTTGATCAGTACAATTATTAGTGCCATTTGTTAAAGGGAGCATCATGATTACAATCGCTCATAATTCCAGTGTCCTTAGTTATGTCATTATGAGTGCCGTTCCCCTATTTCTTGGGAGTATGTTGCAAAAAGGCAAATAGACTTCAAAATAAAACCACTCTGTGTTCCTGCAGGTACCACCTAGTGAAGCTCCTGGAGAAGTTTGGCAAAGTGAAGCAGTTTGACTTCCTTTTCCACAAGTCAGGTCCACTGGAGGGCCAACCAAGAGGATACTGCTTTGTCAACTTCCACACCAAAGAGGTTCTGTTCGTTCTTCTTTACAACATCTGAGAATTCACAACCCAAACGACCAAAGGAAGTCTCAGTTTTGATGCAGTAATGATATGCAAGTCTTTAAGAGGCACCCAGACAGCTGATGCAGATAAGGAACCGTTGGCTCTCTGGAGTGTAATATGAGGCAGTCCCAAGGGTGTTGTTGAAGGGGAAATGTGTGTTTACAGATCTCATTCACGCCCTTCGTGAGAGCTTGGAAAACTAGTGATCCATCATCAGCCATTATTGTTCCCTATCATTACGCCATGCTTCCAGCAACAGCCAGAAACTATATAGTAGCAAACAAACACACACACACAGGAAGGTTCAGGATCCAGACACTACAGAGACGATCTTTGAACAAGACTAATGGAGGATTTCAAAAATAGACATGAAATAATTCACTCTTGTAATCCTGATAGTGTCAGCGGAGTATAGTGACATGTTTATAGATGCATGCATGATTATGATCATCATAAAAGCATAAACTTTGTGATAATCAGTGTTTTCTGTCCATCACAGGAGGCTGAACGGGCTATTCAGTGTCTGAATGGAAAACTGGCACTTTCTAAGAAGTTAGTGGTGCGTTGGGCTCATGCTCAGGTAAAGGTGGGTGTCGCGTAAATTGTGGTCTTTTGCTAAGGCATCACCATTACTATTACTCATGCTATTCGTTAGCGGATTGTTAAAATCTCTAATCCTAAGTAACTCTTTTTTTTTTTTTTTTTAAGTTTTTGGAAGAGTGCAAATGGTTAATTTTTTTTAAGCGATCAGACTTTCGCCTGAAAGATGATAAAACAGGACAGAATCCAAAATCCAAATTATATTGAAGGAAGGCCAAATCTAGAGACCAGAATATCATGGGCCTTGTTCAGACTGAATTTCATGTGGGTTTTCATTTTTCGTTGTGTGGTATTTTAATGGCGTATATACTGATAACTTTGAGAGCATGTTGACTGATATAAAGCTTATAAATATATCACCCGATTTAACTTAAAAAATAGTAAATAACACATAAAATTGCTCAGATAAAATTAACATTTATTTTATATAATATTTGCTTAATTTGAAATAATTTGACAGTTAATTTTGAAAAAAAAAATTTGAGCTTGATATATAAAAAGAAAGCATATCTCCTTGATCCTGTTCTTTAATCCTACTAGTATTTTTTTTCCCACAATAAAGAAATTGTTAAATTAAAAATATACACTTCCGTTCAAAAGTTTAGGAGCAGTATGATTTTTTTTAAAAAGAAGTCTCTTATGCTTACCAAGATTGCATTGTAAAAAAAAATATATATATATAGTAAAAGTTAATATTGTGAAATAATATTATGATTTAGAATTTTTTTTCCCATGATTTAAAGCTGTATTTTCAGCATCATTACTCCGGTCTTCAGTGTCACTTGATCCTTCAGAAATCAATCTAATATGCTGATTTGCTGCTCAAGAAACATTTCTAATTATTATCAATATTGAAAACCGTTTTTGCTGCTTAATATTTTTGTGGTAATCATTTTTTAAATATTTTTTTGGTGCATAGAAAGTTTAAAAGAACTGAATTGATTTGAAATAGAATTATTTTGTAACATTACAAATGTAATTTTTGATCAATTTAATGTAACATTTCTAAATGAAAGTGTTTAAACCCTTACTGACCCCACATTTTTGAACGGTAGTTTATAAATATATGAATCACATTTATTTGGTCAAAATGAATACCACGCAATGCTAATGACTTTTCCACCAGTCATTGTTGTTTTCATAGGTCTGTATTTGTTGCTTTACTGTGGTACCTGCAAACATGACATGTCAAACATGACATACTCAATGGAAAAAAATCCATTGCTAAAGTCTCACACATGGTGGGTTTAAACAGGTTAGCACATAACTTTAAAAAGCATGTCTAGAGAAGTATGAATGGTCCCATGTAGACTTGAGGGTGGGCTATTTTGACTTGGGCCATCAAGCCCACCCAGTAACCACTCAAAACATCCTAGTAACACTCAGAGCACCTTAGTAACCATAAAGCAGCAACCTAAAAACACCTTAACATCATCGCTGTAACTTCAGTACATCATGGACTTTAAGAAATGCTTCTATTGTTGTTCCATGGAATATCTGGGTGCCACTACAACAAAAAGGACCATAAAGATCATGGATCACACATATAGTTGAGTTATAGTGAGGGGCTCCTGAGGCTGCCCGGCTCCTTAACAATAGGTTAGAGTGAGGAAATCCTGTATGGTTGAGAATCGCGCCCCTCCCGCGCACCCCCTCTGCCCCTCCCCGTCTGAGGGGAACGGGACACCAGGCTGGGGTCAAGGTCAACAGTGCAGTGTTGTTGACATCAAGTAGCAGCAGACAGGCCTGGTTCTAGGTCCTCTTGACCACCTCCACCCAACACTGTGCTCATTGTGAGGGTGGTGAAAGTGTTTGATTCATCTGGCCATCTCACCGTGTGTGTGGGTATCGGTGTATTCTTCAGTGCTGTGTTTATATCAGCCGTGCCCTTTGAAAGCCTCTGGTTCTGTGGAGCTGTCTGATCAATGTGGTGTATTTAAAAAACAGCTTCCTCTTTATACATAGTTGTTTGGGTGGAGTGTAGCAATGTAAAGGAAAATAAACTAAAGTTAAATTATTGTAACCAAATGTAAAGGATCAGAAACAGGCTGTTAGAACGTTGCTTTATGGTTTTCTGTATTTAAAAAGATGTGATTTTACAAAAGAAGAAATCAAAGTTGACCCTATTTACTTTAATAAATGTCCTTGGTGTCATTGTGCACAATTCATTAGTACGTAATTAATTACGTTATTTTACACTAGATTTTCTGCTTATGTAAAGCTGTGCAGGCAATACAACTAAACTAAATAAACTACATTTTTACTTCTTTTTTTTTTTTTATGAAGCAATTGCACTGCTGTCTGAATATCAGATGAATCTAATTACTTCAAAAGACTTTATTAACTTATTTTTAGATTTTGCAAATTTTTTTTGTACATTTTAATTATTCATAGTATGTGTATTTTTGCCCTGCTGGCAAAATCAATCATGCATGTTCATTCATTTCATTATTTAACAAAAAGTTAAAACTGAACAAAATGCTGTTTTCATTTTTTTTGTTGTCAATAAAAAAGTTTTGTTATTAAAAAAAGAAAATATAATGCTGACATAAAGTACAGAAAAGTACTGTTTATTTTTTCAGTAAAACATTCAACTGCAAATACTGCGGCCTCCTGTTTTTTATATTTGCTTGAGCTCAATGAATTAATTATAATGTGTTCTTTTATCATAAGATGGTTGTGAAAATTTTTCCTGCTTTCAAAGGGAGGGGGGGGGGGGGGGGCACTATATCTCTATTATATTTTGGCCCCTAGATGTGTCAATCAATCAATGTAAGTTTTATTTTGGCCTGTTTTATCGTCCACCAGGTCTGATTGTTTCGAAAAGCAATAGCACCGCTCATAATGAACAATTTAAAGTATCATTTGCATATGTACAGCAGTTACATACCAAAATTTACTTTGTTTACGAAGTTTAATTTGGAACAGCAAGCACTTCTCAACATGGGCAAACTTTATTATTCAAACAAAATCGATCCCAGCAGATAAAATTCCCCATTCCCCCACTCTTTAACACTTAATATTCAGTTTAACTCAATAAATGTGTCTCATTATGGAAGTTAAGTGCATTGTGAAAGCAGCTTCATATTGTCTTTAACTGTATTTTCGATACATTATAGAATACATTATAGAATCCAAGGGTTGGAGTCTTGGAGAAATATTTTCTGGCAATGTCAAGTTGTTTGATAGGAGTTTTAGACAAAATAAGTTTCTTTTCTTTTCTTTTCTCGCTATAATTCCTAAGTATGTGTCTTCACCAGTAGTAAAGCATTTTCTAGTCTCTTACCTAATCTCTCTTTGTTTTTATTCCCCACAGATTCCCATGAGCTATCATCATCCTTATGGTCGCAAGGGTTGTTGGATGGACGTTTTTGAGTGGAATGAATGTTTATGACGTTGCATAGTCCAACTTTTCCCACACTATTCCAAGGGAGCATATGACTAATAAGCAGCCAACTCTTGTTTTTTTTTTTCTGGTTTCTAATGCAACCAAATGAATTTAAGTCACTAAAGGCCCGGCAAGTTAAACAACCCCTCTTGTATCCATCCTTGTGTGTGTTTGTTGTCTTCCAGAAGTTTGAACCCTTCAGAGGGGACAAAAATGTGCCGGCCAGTTTAGAGCCTTCATCCAGTGAAGCAGAGCAGCTGTCAACCACACTGAGGTTTGGGACATTACCACTTGAAAACTCTGTTGCCTTTCGTTTTCTTCCATGTTTCGAAGTTTTCCTGTTCACTTTCCATTCTGTTTTTGTTTTCGTTCTCAACCATTCCCTTTCCAAATGGCCCTGAGCTCACATTGACGAAAGTGACCCATTTGGACTGGATAAGAAGGTTAATGCTCTTTTCTTTTCTCTCGATTCCCTTTCCTCTACTGTTTAAAGTGTTAATGCAAAGATCCGTGCCATCGAAGCCAAGCTGCAGATGATGGAAGAAAACCCAGATGACTATCCCGGCCCATCTGTGTACATCTACAACAAACCCCCCGATAAAAGAGACAAGAGGTCCCAGCCCTACTACAAGCCGTTCCGCAAATTCAGGAGATGACCTCTCCAACAACTGGCCAAGTGTCTCTGCAGTGAGCGGACTGTGAGATTTGCGGAGATAAGCTGCTCTTGTCTCTTGGCCAGTGTGAGACTGTAATGTATTATGAGAAGAGAGTGTCCAAGACCTTCGATTGGTAGTGCTGTTCTGTTTCTCAGCCAGCGGAGGAGTCTTTTTACTGTGAAAGACAGCTGATGTAAGCAAAATCTAACCACAAAATTCTAGTGAATTTAGTTTTTCCTTTTTTCGAATATTGATGTTACCCAAGTAATTTCAGTTCTTCAGGTTTTAAAGGGATAGTTCAGTCAAAGGATGACAGTTCTTTCATCATTTACTCGCCCTCGTGTCATTCCAAACCAGTAAGAGGATATTTTGATAAATGTCTTTTTTTTTCTTTTGGTCAAGTCATTGTGGTCCGATGTTGTTTGAACCCTAAAATATCTCCTTTTGTGCTCCGCAGAAGAAACAAGAGCACGGGTTCGGAAAAACATGGAGGTACATAAATCATGACAGAAATTTCATTTTTGGCTGAACTATCCTTTTAAGAGTTCTGCACCTCTTCAAAATCTCAATTTACATCCCTCTCTAGATATCCTTTCTGAATATACAGTATCTCACATTGATTTTTACTCGCTTGTAAACTGCCCAAAAGTGTTGTTGTGTGTTGTGTGAGTCTTATGATCCTAAATCTACATACTACTCAGACTTTCCCATTCTTTGTTACACTGTTGTATGTGTAAAGGAAGCACAATATTTTGCATTGTTTATTTAACTATTAATATCTTGCCTTTTTAAGTCTAAAGTGAAAAGGGCTTTTATTAAATGATCTGGAGAGGGGGCATCACAGTTGATGTCATGAACCGTTTTGATCAAGTGTAAATATCCAGGTATTTTGATAGATTTTGCTCCTGTGTGTCCAAAATTAAATGAAACTGTCCTCCTGTGAGGTGTTCAAACTGGATTCTCCTGCTTTTATTTGAAATGGACATGCTTGTTGGACATTGCTTTGAACTGTCTGTAATGATCGATAATAGGCTAGTGCTGTAGTGACAATTTCTATAGCACCGTTGTCTCAGTAGCCTACGTTTATTTATAAGACTGCCACCGTTTTCAATTACGAACAGGCCTAGTGATGAGTATAAGGTAGTTATAGTCTCTTCCCATAAACAGAATTTAATTCAATATCAGTTGAACCCTAAAATAATCAGTTTTCTTATTTATTAAAACTCTTCCGTTTTTAAATTCGGATTAGCGGACTTTCATAACAATATAGCGAATCTGACCCCCTGTCAATTTCCTTTTATTCAGTTTTATTTATTATTTTTGAGTTACTGGGTTCATTTATTTTTCGACGCTACCTTTCCTGATGTTTGTGATATTAAAGTAAGTGGTCACATTGACTAACGAGGCAAGTTTCCGCCATGTACACTTAAAAATAAAGGTTCTTCATTTGCATAGATGGTTCTAAGAAGAACCTAACATCCATGGAACCTTTCCCTTGTACGAAATGTTCTTTATAGTAGAAAAATGTTCTTCACACTATAAGAAAAAAAAGTTATTTGGAAAACCAAAAATAATCTTGTTTTTTTTTTCTTCTCTAAAACAACAACTTTGGAACCTTTGCTGTGTATAAAAGGTCAAATAATCTGTCGGTGAATATGGTGATGTAACTAAATTCTGCAAGGTAGCGTCACTATTATTCCTCTTTTATTCGTATTCATTTCCAAACCCCGAACAACAACAGGCTTCGTTCAAATTCAAATGAAAGACAAGTAATGGCTTTTTTAACTGCTGCTCCTATTGAACCTGAGCTCTTTCCTTTCTAATCTCTTAAATCTCATGCAAGCCTTCATTCTAACAATATACGTGAATATATATTTTCATCGTGATGCAACTGTTGCATAAGAGAGAAGGTGTGCGCCGCTCCCTCTACCTGAATATTATCAGATGGAAAGTATTTTTCCGCTGTTTCTCCCCGACATAATAATGGCATGATGGGTTCAGGCTTGGTAAAGGATATAATTTTTTATCTTTCAAAACAGGTAAGACTTTTAGCGTATCCTATTCAAGTGTGGATGATAATGCAGTCATGCGTATGATTTATTATTCTCCATTTAATTGCATGGAAAGAAAAGGTTGGATACAGTGGAGAAGTAGCCAACATGTTGCTCGATGTGAAAGTCCTCTAGGCTATATATCATCTCCTGCAGCCTGTAACATCTTCACCTTGAAGTGATATCGTGAGAATCAGGATCTGTTCTGAATGGTGTGATTCGCGGTCCATCCTCTTCACATGCCAAGTCTGCAGAGGAAAAATTAGATTTTAATTACTGCCATTAAAAATCAAATGTGCAATTCTTTGGGTGGCCCGTTGCTTTCTCTGATTGGCAGTTGAAATTGACACTCTGGGGTCCTCTTATCGCGAGCATTTCAAGCTATTTGTAATTGCAGGTAGTTTATTTTTTTCAGCTCCCTGGATTGCGTGGAAATACGATTATGGGAAAAGGCACGGGTTAAGTGTTGGGGGGGAGAAATCCAAATTGAAATCGCTTCATTAAAACAGCGGCTTTTGTCGCGAGGCTCTCAATGCACATTTAAAAGCGTTTTTATTGTTTTTGGACGCATATATAGAGCAGGGACCGTGCCTGACATGGAGCACTGTGGCTTGCCTGTGTTGTAGGTGATCTCTCCAGACTCGCACAGCACACCGGGAGCATCACGCTGCGTGGACGGACAGCACGGACGCGCGATGGTGAGTTTGCACGAGGAGCGATACTGCGCCTTCTTTGCGCCCCTGCGAGGTCAGAGTTCTGCTTTTAGCAGAAAAGGCCTTCAGCCACAACATAACACTCTTTACTGATGTAATGCACGTTGGTGGATTCTTTTAACTTGGACTTGTAAACAGATTTGATATTATTGCGCTTAGAGAACGCTTTAAATGTCACTGAATTTCCCCTACAGATGTTAGAAAATATTAAGTTAACACGACTATTACATGCTTTCCTACTTGAGAAGAGTTTCGATTTTCTTCATCAGTAATTACGTTCGAAAACGTTTTCAGTTTTACAGTGGGTTGATTTTTTTTCTTTTTTCCCAACAGAATATTCCTGTCAATAAAATAACCTTCTGAACGTCATACTTTCGAGTTTAATATTGATCTCTGTGGCTGTCGCAGTCGCAGTCTGACGGAGAATCTCACAGGTCGAACATGGAGAAAGACGACACGCGCTCTTCGCCCAGTCCGCCCTCGACTCCGTCCATCTGCTCGCCCGCGTCCAGCGCCTCCTCCGCGCCGTCCACCGGGAGGAACGTGTGCGCGAGCTGCGGTCTCGAGATCCTGGACAGATATCTGCTCAAGGTACGAGGGCGTGAGTGTGTGTTTGTGTCTCATGTGGCGAGTGAACGGACTTTTTCGTAAAATGCATGAAGACAAAATTAGTTGGAACGATTTAGTGTCGCCTGCTTTGTCGCTTTCGTTATTTTTTATGTTGTTTATTATTAATTATCTGTATTAGCTCTGCATGTTTGGGGTCTTATGCACCGCGGCCAATTTAATAGATCGAAAAATATAGGCTACTTAAAAGTCATTGACTAACTAATTGATTAACGTGATTTTGTCTAATCCTATGATGATAACTGATTTTTGATGAAACGCTTCAATAATAAAATTGGATACTTAATTTTACTAGGATACTAATTGGGTCTTATAGCCCTTATGTATGAATGAGTAGGCTACATATATATATATATATATAAAAAAAATCGCAATTTTATTTGTTTTATTGTACTTTCTACAATGTTTTTATTTGTATTTTTAGCTGGGGTCAAACTGATCAGAAGCAGAAACGTTAGGCTATTAGATCCAGTCATATTTCTGGAGAAAAAAAATGCATGCCAACTTTGATATAACAGATGGGTTCAGGTTTCTGTAATGTCTGCATGTGTTTTGGTTTGGTCAGAGGAGCATAATATAATAATGTGAAGGGGAAAAGAGGTTAATTTCGAATTTGCTGTTATTTTTACACATCGTATAAAAAGTCAATCTCAGCAGAACATGATGGATGCAAATCCTGCGAGTATTTATTTTTCACCTCCAGATAGGCCTATAGATTTAGATTCTTCAACGAATAAATTGTCTGCATTTTGCTTTCTAAAAACGAGCAGCCGTTTTTTAGTGGAGATGCTGACAGGATCGCTGTGCATGTGCTCTCGGCATGCTTGGCTTTCAGGAAGTGCGTGTGTTGCGTGAGTTGCGTGTGTTGCGCGTGAGCACGCTCCCCCTGACCGTACTGTTTTGCTCTTTTGCGGAAACTAATAAAACTGCGTGAGTTTATTACAATTTATTCAGGATGAACGAATTTAGTACATTTTCCTTTTTCTCAGCTCTTGGGGTTTCATAGTCTGAGAACATAATTATACTTATTTTTTTCGACAGAATCTTTAAATAAATATTTCTAAGATGCACCTCCCGTGTAGCCTAAATGTTCCAAAGAAAACATGGCTAAATTCATCATTTTAAACCCCAAATAGGCCTATCTATAATTTACATTTAAAATTTTAATAATCACAAATTTCTAGACGGAATATGTTGCAAGTTTGATTAACATTTTTATACATTTTTTCCCGCTTGCAACATACAGCAAAATAGGCTGCTTAATGTGCACGCATCTGCATTTATACACCAGCGCAATGTTCACAAAATATGTGGCAGAATCTAATTTTAAATCACAACTTTAATTGTAAACAAACAAACCCATTTCCTATAGTAGCCGATCACATATTTATATGGCAGTCATTTTGAGACATATAGAAACACGTGTGTGCGCTTCGACTTCATTTTAATGCATGTTGACATTTCATTTTATAACACATGAACGATTAATTTAATGAAACGCAAAAAATACAAGTACATAAAGGTAGCCTTTTAAAAGAAGAAATATGCAAATTTCATTATTTTCAATGATTATATTTTCATGTGGGCTGTTCTGTTTGTTCCAGGTTAATAATCTGATCTGGCACGTGAGGTGTCTGGAGTGCTCGGTTTGCAGGACGTCGCTCCGTCAACACGGCAGCTGCTACATTAAAAATAAGGAAATCTTCTGTAAAATGGATTATTTCAGGTAGGGTAAGTTTTTCACTTTCTGTCCTCAGAATGATCAGGTGCGCATATAAACGAAATACTGCGTAATTGTTTATGGTTGAAAATGCCTTGCGTGAGTGTGGCGTGTTAGGGTTTAATGCTAAAAATACGATTTTTTTGTTCATTTTTATTTACTTATTTTATTTTTGCTTAAAAAGTAGCGATCTAATGTTTCCCACAACAAATAGCCGACATATAATTATACTACGCCGTGTGTAATTTAGTTAATTTTCCAGTGATAAATTCAGTGAAAAAAGACCTCGTACTTTAAAATATCGCTAACATCATAAAACGTCATACTATTTGTAGTTAATTTATTCATAAGTTAGACAATTTTATACTTGTCTGCTCTAAAGCTCCATTAGAACTGCGTTTTATATTATAATAGTAAACAAAAAGAATTGATCTGAGACCAAAATAATAACGTTGTAGCTTATTCTAAGTAAATATTTTACAACTTAAAATACTTTAATTGGTGTTTCTGATTCAGTCATATTAAATCATACATTTAGATGTTACCACATAAAGCACATTATTGCTGTGTGCAATATATATATATATATATATGTCAATAGTAGTATTGAGAGGTATAAATAGTACTTGATTATTAGTAGAGTTAAATTGGCCAATATTTCCTTGTATGCAACTGAATAGTGAAAGAAATCAAACACAAGTTACATAATTCAGTCTCAGAAGTATCGAGCTCTGGGTTCGATCCAGTAATATGCTGATGGGAAGGGATGGAGGTCTGACAGGGAAGCTTTGCATTGAGGCTAGAAGGGCTGCGATATGGCATGATTGCAGAGCACTCAGCAAGGCCTGTGAATGGCAGTGTGATATTGGCCAGCCTTCCCTGCTTATTGCCCGTCAATGTGAATGACTGGCCCCTTTAAAGTCAATGCTGTGTTGCAGGAGAGGGTTTGTTTTCTACGTTAAGGCCAATAATCTGAAGAGATGCTCCACGAGATGGTGCATCAATGCCATGATCTTCACTGAGCGGTTGTGTCGAGTCTAGGGCGTCAGGATCTCTCAAGCTGTTTAATCCACAAGAGATTACAAAACTCTGAGAACTTTGGCACAGAAGATGTAGAAAGGAATGCAAGAAAACGCCACAAAGTGGATTACGTTATAAATCTTATTATTATGGACAAACCCATATTCTGAAGATGGCGAGTTGCGGTTTAGTACAATAGAAATCTGAAATGACGGCAGTTAAATGAAATGGACAAGGGTTTTACAAATTCTCCCAAACGATTAGTAGTATTGCATTAGCATAAATATGCGAACAATATTCATATTTCTTTTAACTGACC